TGTGTGTGTGTGTGTGTGTGTGTGTGTGTGTGTGTGTGTGTGTGTGTGTGTGTGTGCAGCTCTGCCAAGAGGATAAAGTGCATGGAGGAGGATGTGGACAGTCCTGGGGAGGAGTCCTACTACCCGGGTCAGGGCCGGTCTCCGGGCAGCGGGAGCCAGACCAGCAGCTGGCACGATGTGGAGCCAGGTACTCCGTCTCCATGGCAACCACACCTCTAACAACATGCCATCTACTAATCCCGCCCTCAACCACCTCCACCTTCTTCACACACACACCTCACCTGAACTGAACCAGACACTTGAAGCAGCAGCACTGTGACAGGATGTGGGAGGAGCTTAAATTAGACAGGTGTATATGAGAACAAACTTCACACCAGCAGGAGGTGGAGCCTACTGCCTGACGAAGAGGTGGAGCTTAGTGACAGATAAAGAGGAGGGGCTTACTGCCTGGTAAAGAGGTGGAGTCTATTAAAAAGAGGCGGGGCCTTTGTTCTGTAAAAACACTGAAATCAGAGAATCAGATGTTTATTTTAAGAGCAGAGAAAATTTTCAACACGAGAAAATATTAAAGACTGATTGTCCTTTTATCACTTTTATATTTATAAATCACAAGATTCAAATGAATTATTAGCTACTTTTCTTTTCTACAATTCTTCCTTTTCCAGTGTTGATATTTTTGTGATAATTGTTCTAATTAGTCCAAAATTTTATGACATTTTTTAATCAGAATAATTCTAAAGAATGATTGGATTTGCATTGTATGAAGTATTGAATTATTTCATATTTAATCCGTTAAAATGTTTTTATTGAGTGAATCGACACCCAGTGGTTGTTGAGGCTCCTTCCTCCTCTTCATCACTCTGCTTTCCTTTTCTCACGCTGCCTTTTCTTCCTTCTTCTCGTTTCTTTCCTTGTCTTGTTTCCTCCGCCTTGCGGTGGGAAGCTGGATATAAGCTGCGTGGCTCTCTAGCTAGCTCATTCATCTCCCGTCAAGGTAAAACCGACAAAACGACTTTGTATTTTCTGTCTTCGTGTTTGTGAAACCGCCTCCTCCTCCTCCTCCTCCTCCTCCTCACCTCCTGATGATGGACAGATGGACGTAGATGTGTGTGGTGTCTGGTTCAGTGTGCTGGACCATCACACCTGCCCCCAACTCCCCCACCCACCCTGACTCCGCCCACCTGCAGCATGCCGTTGACATCATCTTTGTGGTTTACATGTTGATGTTGCAGCGCAGCACCGTGCATGTGTGTCTTCAGATACATGTATCTGTGTGTAACTTCCTGTTTCTGATTCAAAATGCACACACACATGTACGCAATAAAGCTGTGTGTGTGTGTGTGTGTGTGTGTGTGTG